AGCTTCCCCTATCTTCATCAATATACATTTAACATTCCTCAAATATTCCTTCCATCTTTCCAATACCTCTAACTCACACATTTAAATAACGTCTCCCTCTCCTATTTTTAACTGACAAATCCATTTGTTCTCTAGGCTTTCTTAACTTGTTAATCTCACTCCAAAACTTTTTCTTATTTTCAACAAAATTTGTTGATAACATTCTCACACCACTCCCTCATTTGCTCTCTTTTACATTGCTTCACCACTCTCTTAACTTCTCTCTTTTTCTCCATATACTCTTCCCTCCTTGCATCACTTCTACTTTGTAAAAACTTCTCATTGCTAACTTTTTCTCCCTTACTACTCTTCATTACATCATCATTCCACCAATCGCTCCTGTTCCCCGTCCTGCAGCCACTTTCCTGTAACCACAAACTTCTGCTGAACACTCTAACACTACATTTTTAAAACTACCCATACCTCTTCACCCCATTGCTATGCTCTCATTAGCACCATCTATCCTATCCAATAGCTGTTTATATCTACCCTAACTGCCCCTCTTTTAAGTTTATAAACCTTCACCTCTCTCTTCCCTGTTGCTCTATTCTCCTTGTATCCCATCTACCTTTTACTCTCATTGTAGCTACAATCTAGAAAGTGACTGATATATACTGTGCCCCTCTATAAACATGTACATCCTGAAGTCCTACTCAACAGTCTTTAATCATACCATATACATAATCAACAAACTACTGTCATTTCGCCTACATCATATCGTGTATACTTATTTATCCTCTTTTTTCTTAAAATATGTATTACCTATTAAAACTTAAAATAAAACCCCCCCGTATCTATACAAAGTTGGGGTGAATCAAAGGGCTCCCATTATCATTACACCTGCACCCCAAACTTACCCTAACCACACCCCTCTCTAAAAGTTTCTCCTACTTTAGGCATTCAAGTCCCCTAACCAACAATTACTCTCTCACTTGTTCAAAGCTCCTATACATTCACTTAACATCTCCCAAAATCTCTCTCTTTTCCTCTGCATTCCTCTCTTCTCCAGGTGCATACACGCTTATTATGACCCACTTCTCGCACCCAAACCCTTTTAAACTTTAATCCACATAAATTCTGAATTTACACATTCTATTCTTTTTTCTCCTTCCATAACTGTTTCATTTAACATTACTGCACCCTTCCTTTGCTCTAACTCTCTCAAAATACTCCAGATTTAATCCATTTATATCCCCCCACTGAAACTCTCCTACCCCCTTCAGCTTTTTTTTCGCTTAGGGCCAGGACATCCAACTTCTTTTCATTCATAACATCAGCAATCATCTTTTTCTTGTCATCCGCACTACAATCCACGCACATTTAAGCAACCCAGTTTTATAAATTTTTTTCTTCTTCTCTTTTTAGTAATTGTATACGGGAGAAGGGGTTACTAGCCCATTGCTCCCGGCATTTTAGTCGCCTCATACGACACGCAGCTTACGGAGGAAAGATTCTTTTCCACTTCCCCATGGACAATAGAAGAAATAAAAAAGAACAAGAGCTTTTTAGAAAAAGGAGAAAAACCTAGATGTATGTATATATATATATATGCATGTGGTGTCTGTGAAGTGTGACCAAAGTGTAAGTAGGAGTAGCAAAATATCCCCGTTATCTAGCGTGTTTATGAGACAGAAAAAGAAACCAGCAATCCTTACATCATGCAAAACAGTTACAGGTTTTTGTTTTTACAGTCATCTGCCTGGACGGTAGTACTTCCCTGGGTGGTTGCTGTCTACCAACCTACTACCTACTACCTATACCTACACATATATATATATATTTATATATATATATATATATATATATATATATATATATTATTATATATGTGGCCGAATATGTAAAACTGGTCAATTAGCAAGAACTCATTTAAAAAAAGTCCTTTCTAAAATTTTCTCTTATACGTTTTAACGATATATTTTTTCCATTAATGTAAATGTAAAAATTTTATATTTTGATCCAAAAGACTCTTAGAAAACTTACCTATAAACCTAATTATAACAAGAACAATTTATATTATAGCCTAACTCCAATAAAATATATTTTAGATTTTGTTACTATAATTTAATACTAAACAAACACAATGAATATATTTTTTTCGTTAGGTTCAGAAATATTTTGGCGAAATTATTGCATAACAAATTTTCACTTGTCCTATATGCAAATGACGTTGCTATTTAACCAAGATCACAAGTTACTGCCTATTCGGCAACGACATATTATAATTATTTATAGTAATTTATATATAATATATATGGTTAATATATATAATATATATCTATAATATTATATATATATAATATATTGGTATACTGACTAAATATATTATATAATATATTTATATATGTATATATATATATATATATATATATATATATATAATATATAATATATATATATATATATATATATATATGTATATATTATATATATATATATATATATATATATATATATATATATATATATATATATATATATATATATATATATATATATATATACACAGTGGACCATCGCATAACGATCACCTCCGAATGCGACCAATTATGTAAGTGTATTTATGTAAGTGCGTTTGTACGTGTATGTTTGGGGGTCTGAAATGGACTAATCTACTTCACAATATTCCTTATGGGAACAAATTCGGTCAGTACTGGCACCTGAATATACTTTTGGAGCGAAAAAATATCGTTAACCGGGGGTCCACTGTATATATTTACGGGGACCCCCTTAACATATTTTTTCACTCCAAAGTATGTTCAGGTGCCAGTATGACCGAATTTGTTCCCATAAGAATATTTGAAGTAGTTTAGTCCATTTCAGACCCCCAAACTACACACAAACGCATTTACATAAATACACTTACAAAATTTGGTCGCATTCGAGGTAACGTTATGCGGGGTCCACTGTATATATAATATATACATATACATGGTCCCCAAAATTGTCTGGCCTGAAATCTCCTTTTCGGAAATGTTGTTTTTTCGCAAAAACATTGGCTCGCAAAGGGGTCTGAAACCGCTAATCTTTTTCGTCCTGGACGCATACTCACGCTCTGACCCCGCTTTGTCCTCCCCACCAGTGTCCCATTTTTTCCGGTGAGAAAGGTCCCCCACATGTTCATACAAATATTTCAAATCCATTCTTTTTAGTCTGCAAGTACAAATAAGCTACCATCCCCAAAAGAACGCTCCTATGCCAAACCCTTGGTAAGAAGTGAAAAATACGTTTGAATTAAAAAAAACATCTTTGAACAATAAAAAAGGGGCAACACTGGCGAACGGCCGGAGCATAAAAAAATCCTGTACAACCTATCACCCATATACCAAGAAAAAGGAATCAACACTCTGGCCCCAGAATTTTTTAATATCTTATCGAAGATATCAAAAATAATGCTGGAACAGTGTAAAAGTCTTCAGGGGAAACCTACAAATATCCGCCGCGGGTTGCGGGAGGAACAGCCGGTTGACCAAGCCTGAACCAGGGCCAAGCGTAGAGTAGAAAAACTCTCGAAAGCCATCAAAGGTTGTGATAGGGGGGATGAGATTGCATTTAAGAAAAGTGCATGATAAGCGGGGCCCCCAAGAAAATTTTTCAATTTGGGAAAAATGACTTTTTTGGGGCCCCCGGGGGGCAGACTGGGGGGCCTAAATCTAAGTGAATTTTATGTAATTATTTTTGCAAATTAAAATAAAAAATTTTAAATTACCCAAAAAAAAAAACAAAAGAAAAAAAGAAAAAAAAAATTCTAGGTTTTGACTTTTTTAGAGATTAACAGCTGGGCCCCAACCAAAGTACCGACGAACCCCCATCCCCTCTCAAGGGCCTATGAAAAGGCCTTATTGAGGCCTAGAGAAAAAAGTGTTTGGGGTGAGATATTAAATGTTTGTCACCACACCCTCTCACGAAATTAATTTTCCGTTTTCAAACCTTTTCCTCAAATTTTCTGCGCTCAATTTCTACGAAATTTTTTATTTTTGATCTTTTTTTAACACAGCAAATTTTTTATAGACAATTTATATTAGAAATTAAAAGACTGTAAAAAAATTTCATTAAATTTATAAACTGACGATACCCAAAAAAATGAACTGCCCTTTTCAAAAAATTTAAATCCTCTGAGGGCCCAGTTCTAGTCTTTTTGTATCCATATGATCAGTGCCCGCCCGGCAGGATAGACATGCGAAAAACAACAAACTAGCCACTTGACATAAAAACTATTTGAGAAAAACTCAACAGTTATTTCAAGATATTAAAAGGGCCAATTTTTTTAAATTTTTATGCACACAAACTGCCATATTACCTAAATATTACACAAATATTGTTTAAATATTGTTCTAAATATTCTCAAATACAGTGGCCCCCCCAATGAATTTTTCACTCCAAAGTTGTTTTAGGGGCCAGTACTGACCGAATTTGTTCCCATAAGGAATATTTGGAAAATAGATTTTCCATTTTACAAAACCCCAAAAATCCGACAAACCCCCTTACTAAAAACACTTACTAATGGGGCCGCCGGGGGTAATCTTATGCGGGGGTCCACTTATTGCTCTAAAATGCCTAATACAGACAGCAAGGCACCAATGAGAATTTTTTTGTAACATTTTGAACACTGATATAAACAGGGTTCACTACTGGTATTGTGGTAACTTTTTGGGTTATCACAGGGAAACAATAGAAACCATACGACAGGTGGGGTTAGAACCCGCAATCAGAGAGTCACAAAGCTCCAGACCGACGCATTAGCCACTGGGCCAGCGTTGGTCTAGTTTTGTGACCTTCTGATCACGGGTTCTAATCCCACCGATGGTATGGTTTGTTTGCAATCATGTCATTATGATTTCGTGAGTCAAGTAAACAATAGGCCTTACCACTGGACCAACATAAGCTACAGGACTGCAACTCACAAATAATAGGGATGAGGATGGGGGTAGCCAGGAATCACCAGTTTGTTCTGTACTAACCTCCTTGTATATCCTGTATTGGTCTATGGCAAAAACTGTTGGCACATGTGTGTTGAGCAGCTGGGAGAGAGAGAATTTCTTGTTGCAGGCACGAGCACAGATGAGTCGGGTCTTGCCCACAGCTGTGTCGCCCACAACCACACATTTCACCAACTCCTGATGCGGCTGTTCACTATCCATGATCGATACCCATTATCCTTGGCATGCCTGCAAAAGTAACAATGGTGTTAAGTACATCATATTTAACCTTTATGGCAATATAATGTAATTCAAATATATTGCAAATAACTCAAGAAATCGTAACGAAACGACTGTAAACAAATCACGGAACGGGTGTGGTTTGAACCTGTGGTGAGTACTAGAACTCACAGGCCAGTGTGCTAACCACTGGGCAAGCTAGCTCTAATAAGATTTATCAAACTAGGTATATTTCTATACACCATAGTGAGGTTAACATAGGCCACCACTCTGACCACAAATGATGGGTTTTACAGATGAGTCTCAGAGCAGAGGCTGTGGCGTATGCCACAGCCTCCGTGATTCATCTGCTCTGAGATAGGTCTACTTACATATGGGCGTATCTTTTTCCCAACGTTATTCCCACACACCTCCAACTATTGGAGGATAGATGGGCTAATGAGAGCATAGGCAATGGGGTCGAAGATGTATGGGGTAGGTTTAAAAATGTAGTTTTAGAATGTTCAACAGAAGTTTGTGGTTACAGGAAAGTGGGTGCAGGAGGGAAGAGGAGCGATTGGTGGAATGATAATGTAAAGAGAGTAGTAAGGGAGAAAAAGTTAGCATATGAGAAGTTTTTACAAAGTAGAAGTGATGCAAGGAAGAAAGAGTATATAGAGAAAGAGAGAGAGGTGAAGAGAGTGGTGAAGCAATGTAAAACGAGAGCAAATGAGAGAGTGGGAGATGTTGTCAACAAATTTTATTGAAAATAAGAAAAAGTTTTGCAGTGAGATTAACAAGTTAAGGAAGCCTAGAGAACAGATGGATTTGTCAGTTAAAAATAGGAGAGGAGAGATGCTAAATGGAGAGTTAGAGGTATTGGGAAGATGGAGGGAATATTTTGAGGAATTGTTAAATGTTGATGAAGATAGGGAAGCTGTGATTTCGTGTATAGGGCAAGGAGGAATAACATCTTGTAGGAGTGAGGAAGAGCCAGTTGTGAGTGTGGGGGAAGTTCGTGAGGCAGTAGATAAAATGAAAGGGGGTAAGGCAGCTGGGATTGATGGGATAAAGATAGAAATGTTAAAAGCAGGTGGGTATATAGTTTTGGAGTAGTTGGTGCTATTATTTAATAAATGTATGGAACAGGGTAAGGTACCTAGGGATTGGCAGAGAGCATGCATAGTTCCTTTGTATAAAGGCAAAGGGGACAAAAGAGAGTGCAAAAATTATAGGGGGATAAAGTACTGGAAAATGAGGGGTTAATTTGGTTAAAATAGAGTAAGACCTCGGAAAAATATGGAGTGAATGAAAAGGTCTTTTGGACACGGTAGGGGGTTGGCCAGTGTTTAATAGAATATAAGTGATGAGTATTAGAAAGGCATAAGAGAGTTATTATTGAAGCTTTTAAGATATGAGAATAGGATGAGATGACAAGGGTTTTGGAAGAGGGGTGTGTAGATGCAAGTGTTTATAGAGGTAGGTTACTAAAGTGAACAGTTTTTAGAGGGTATAGGCTCAAAGAGAGTATGTGGCAATTAGGGATATTTCGTAAAAGGAGGCCTTAGAAAGAGGGATGTGGCAGTGGTTGTCATATATTTATAGGGGGTGGTGTACTGAAAGCATTGCAAGGGTTTGGGAAGGAGGCGTGGAGGTAAAAGATTTAAAAAAGCACCTTAACAAGAGTGGGAGTTGTCACCCGTTGTTTTGCTGATGACATTTCTTGGGGTTCTGAAGAGAAGTAAAGCAAGGGTTTGGCAAGATTGGGTGGGGTAAAAGAAAAAAATATAGAAAATGTGGGAAAAAGTACAGGTTTTTATGAGGATAACAAAATGATTAGGTGATGAATGATGTTGGATATCAGATTCGAGGGAGAAGAGTAAGGTAGGAGGAGTGAAGACGGTATATTCAGAGTATTTGGGAGTGGACGTGTCCAGCGGATGGGTCTATGAAAGATGAGGTGAATCATAGAATTGATGAGGGGAAAAGGGTGAGCAGTGCACTTAGGAGTCTGTGGAGACAGAGAACTTTGTCCTTGGAGGCAAAGAGGGGAATGTATGAGAGTATAGTTTTACCAACGCTCTTATATGGGTGTGAAGTATGGGTGATGAATGTTGCAGCGAGGAGGAGGCTGGAGGCAGTGGAGATGTCATGTCTGAGGGCCATGTGTGGTGTAAATATAATGCAGAGAATTCGTAGTTTGGAAGTTATGAGGAGGTGCGGGATTGCCAAAACTGTTGTCCAGAGGGCTGAGGAAGGGTTGTTGAAGTGGTTCGGACATGTAGAGAGAATGGAACGAAACAGAAGGACTTCAAGAGTGTATCAATCTGTAGTGGAAGGAAGGCGGGGTAGGGGTAGGCCTAGGAAAGGTTGGAGGGAGGGGGTAAAGGAAGTTTTGTGTGCGAGGGGCTTGGATTTCCAGCAGGCATGCGTGAGCGTGTTTGATAGGAGTGAATATAGACAAATGGTTTTTAATACTTGACGTGCTGTTGGAGTGTGAGCAAAGTAACATTTATGAAGGGATTCAGGGAAACCGGCAGGCCGGACTTGAGTCCTGGAGATGGGAAGTACAGTGTCTGCACTCTGAAGGAGGGGTGTTAATGTTGCAGTTTTATAAACTGTAGTGTAAAGCACCCCTCTGGCAAGACAGTGATGGAATGAACGATGGTGAAAGTTTTCCTTTTTCGGGCCACCCTGCCTTGGTGGGAATTGGCCAGTGTGTTAATAATAAAAAAAAAATAAAAAACTGAAAGAAACCTCTGATATTGGTCTTTGGCTCCATCACAACTTTAATTTCATATTTTCTTTTAGCTTTCCTTATTCCTTTAATTACTTTTCTCATAAAGTGAATATTTGTTCAATAAAGTGACTCCTCACCTCTTTTTTTTATTCGCTTGTAAGATAAGATTTTGTTCGGATTTTTAACCCCGGAGGGTTAGCCACCCAGGATAACCCAAGATAATCAGTGCATCATCGAGGACTGTCTAACTTAATTTCCATTGGGGTCCTCAATCTTGTCCCCCAGGATGCGGCCCACACCAGTCGACTAACACCCAGGTACCTATTTGCTGCTAGGTGAACAGGACAATAGTGTAAGGAAATGTGTCGAAATGTTTCCACCCGCCGGGAATCGAACCCGCGCCCTCCATGTGTGAAGCGGGAGCTTTAGCCACCAGGCCACCGGGCCACTGTAAATGCCTTTTTCACCCAAAAGATGTTTGAATATATTGCTTATACATTTAGGGTCATTTATGTTTGATCTTATTTCTCTATTAGGAATATATACAGCTTGACCAACTGGTACATTGCTTTGGAAAATGTTATATTGGCAATGATTACCACAAGGCTCCTTCATGACAAGTCCCTAGTCAGGTTACCTCAGTCTACACTCCTCAAGTAATTACTTAGCCTCACATAGTCTGCAGAGCTTCGTCAGGCTTAACAAAGCTCCTGGAGAGCGAAATGTTGCCACAATAAAATGTTGCATTAGTTGCACTTGTGTTCTTTTACTTAACATATTGTCGGTAATTCTACTAACATAAATACTGAGAGAAAATTGAGACCTTAACTTGGAGATATTAAAACTAAGTAATTTGTGATTGCTTCTTCCAAGCTCTTCATTAACGTCAAGATCTCTCAGCCCATCAAGACTGATGGAGTGAACACATGGACTCCAGACTCAGGGATCGATTATCTCAAACTCCTCCTCATCTTCCACTGTAATGGACCGAAGAAGACGCTGGCTGGCAAAACGTTTCCACAATAATGATTCCAAAATGCTGCACAAGTGTCTCATTATGAAGTGGTAATGGTTGAGGCTGGGATGAAACATCATCTAACACTTTCTCCCCACTTGTGGGTTTGCTGGGAAGTGACTGAGGGTTGAAACAATAATGACATTTGCTCTGGCAGCATATAATGTGTAAAGTAAAAGGACACAAGTGCAACTAATGTGACATTTTATTGTGGCAAAGTTTCGCTCTCCAGGAGCTTTGTCAAGCCGTTACAAGCAGTACATGGACACAGAGGGTATATATAGGCTCAGAGTGAGGTGCAATACTAGTGGTACAAGTAGTAGTAGTAGTGACATAAGTTGTAGTAGTAGTAGTAATACAATAGGGTAGAGCAATTAACTCGTACATGAGTAAAAGGATATACAAGCTATTACTTGGGTAACATAAAAATAGGTTAGACAAATATACTGGATAGAGAAGGCCTGTTTCAGTGTTCAGTCTCTGTAATGTGCTTTGTGTAGTATTAATGGGAGAGACTATGTGATGGCAGGGTTTACTGTTTTCAGGAGGATTCTTGCTAAGACTTCAGAGATAGTGAAGCTGCCTTTGTTTTGTTTAATTGTATTCAAAACAGTGATTAGTGCTGACTCGAGGCACTTGTGTCTGCAGAAATTAGTTTCTTTGATCACTAATTGGGCGTTCCTGAATTTCATGAGATGATTGGAGGAATTTCGGTGTTGTACACAGGCATTGTTCAAGTTATCGTTCCTACATGCGTAAATGTGTTCATTGAGGCGGGTGTCGAGGTTTCTTGCTGTTTCACCTACATAAATCTTGTCGCAGCCTCCACAGGGTATAGTGTAAACTCCTGCATTGACTGGTTCGTGGTGCTTTGATTTTGTCCTGGTCAAACTGGTCAACTAGCCGGAGTTCTTGCCAAACATCTTTCCTGCCTTCTGGGGACCATCAGCCCTGCTCATCTTAAACACTCAGGTGACCTTCTCAACCGCATCTGAAACCTCTCCATCCGTAACAAAAAACTAAGTACAGTGGACCCCCGGTTAACGATATTTTTTCATTCCAGAAGTATGTTCAGGTGCCAGTACTGACCGAATTTGTTCCCATAAGGAATATTGTGAAGTAGATTAGTCCATTTCAGACCCCCGAACATACACATACAAACGTTCTTACATAAATACACTTACATAATTGGTCGCATTGGGAGGTGATCGTTAAGCGGGGGTCCACTGTAGTTTGGACATGACTTCCCTCTTCACAAAAGTACCTACCACTAAA